AAATTGATTAAATACATGCAAATCAGGTACTATCGTGACATTAGTATCAACTTGTTTAAACTGTGTCACTATTTCTACGGTCTTATGTAAATTTGATTCAATCTCTTGATCACAAACATCTTCTATATACCATCGTTTGGCTATAAGGCCAATGTTAAACTTGGCAGCCCTTGAATTCATCATGACTTGAAAAAAATGTGTGCATACAAGCCCACGATTAATAATTGATAAACAAGTACATAAATGTCCACCGTCAACCAATAAAATAACATAATGTTTATATGATCCTGTAAGTCTGAAGAGCTCCTATATTTCTAAAATATCAAATGGCTGAATTCTATCCATAAGAGAATAAAGTGATGCTTGCGGCCTATCCAGATGATCCTCAAGAAACCCAACATCACAGTCGAGCAGATCAGGATCCTAAAAAGAAACAGTTTTTATTACTTCAAATTAATAATTAGTGTTCCGCAGTAATCTGGCTTAAATATTATTATAGTTCAGCTTGTTTTGGCTTGCTGCGCTAGTGAGCGAGCCAAAAACGAGCCGGACTATAATAATATTTAAGCCAGATTACTGCATTATCATTATTGAAACTTACTTCTTGTATAACGCCGAACATCTCTTTAGGGATTAACCTTGCACGATATAGTAAAGATCCAAGTATCTGCTGACGTTGAACAGATAAGATATGAGAAGGTAAATATTTTTTTAGTAATTCAAGCACTTCAGGAAATATAGGCTCGATGCTTGATTAACCGGAAGGCTTTGGAGATATGAATTATGTCGAGCCCATTTGGCTTCATTATCTAAAAGCCTTTGTATTATGTCATACAAATTGCATAGTGAAGATGTACTGCTTATACCCTCCTTAATTATTCTATTCATTACTTCAACTCTCTATGTACTTTGAACTCCGGCTGTGAAAACTTTAATTTGAAAGCATTTTGCCTACGCTCTATAACAATTTTGCAAAGTATTATTGAGATAATTTTGAGCCTGTGGATATCTTTTTAATAAACGTGTCCAACGGTGATGAAAATCATTTTCGAATAAGCTATTTCGGGCATGTAGAAATTCCTTATAGAATGTATCATAATGTTTGCCCAATTTACTTCGTAAATTTTTACGCAAATTTTTTTGTATATGGAAAATACAAAGAAAATGATGAACAGTAGGCATTTTTAATGCTATAGCATTTAGTAAAGCAGGGTCTGCATCAGAAAATATACAAACAGGTGGAATATTATTTGTCGCTTGAAGGATATATTCGAAGAACCATTCATAACTTTCGGTTGTTTCGTCGTTTGATAGACATTGAGCGACGAGTTGACTTTTAGTATTATTATCGATTACAACTAAGAGAGTCAAATACATATTAAACCAGTTCGTTTGACTTGTATTATCTGTCTGTACTACATTGTTATATCGTAAAAGACACCGTTGTTGACTAGGTGACATCCAGAACAACCCTGTCAGCCGATTATCAAAAGGATCTAGTCTTGTTTTAACTATCCAACCTGACTTCTAATCTTGTAATTCAAGTAATTTATTAATCATATTCTGTGCGTCTCCTTGACGCTTTGTGAGAGGTGCTTTAAAACTATAGACAGCGTTATAAATGTCTCGCTTGCTGATTAAATGATTCAGAAAACCTGCAGTTATTAAAGGATATATTTGCTTTGATCCTAAATTGCTCTTAGTTACATAAAACTTAATCTGCTTCATTATACTATCTGACAACCTTTGATATTTGGGCGCGTATAAAGTTATATCGGATATCATAGGATGACAGTGTTTTCCAACAATACTAGTTATGCCTACTTTTGATACAGCTTTAGGCATGGTTAAATTTATGTGCTATGGACACCCAACCTTACTAGATGGACGCTCACGCTGGCAGGTTGGATCAATTACTTGATTAGAAGTGGGCTCTTCAGAAAAAGTGCATTCAAATGTTCATCGACGAACCGTTCCATCTTTATCAACTTCAACTTGTTTACAATATATACTAAATCCAGCTGATCTTGCATACTGATTAAGTCGTATTTCAGCAATGTCCCACGAAATAAATGTATTGTTAACATTAATATGAACTGGCTTTTCTAACTCAGGTTCTAGATCCATACTTCTTTGAGGATCTACATTCATAATATCTTGAAATTCTACACCCGTACTATTGTCAAATTCTACACCAGTACTATCGTGAAATTCTATACCCATAATATTGTGAAATTCTACATCCTTACTATCGTGAAATTCTACATCCATACTATTGTGAAATTTTACATCCACACTATTGTGAAATTCTAC